GAAGCAGTACAAACAGTAAATAAATATATTTTAACATGCTCAACATTACTGGTCATCGGAGAAATGCAAATTAAAACAGTCCTGAAATTCCATCTCATCCCAGAAAGAATGGCTGTCATCAAGAAATCAACCAGTCACAAAAGCTGAGGAGGCTGTGGAGGAAAAAATCCTTCCTTATTGCTGGTGGGCCTATAAACGAGAGCCACTATGGAAATCAGTATGAAGCTTCCTCAAAAAACTAAAACTAGTTACTTTTGACCCAGCTGTTCCCCTTCTTGGTATCTTCCTGAAAGAATTAAAAGCATCATACCACAGCACTATATGTACACCTATGTTTATAACAGCACAGTTTGTAATAGCTAAATCTTGCAAACAGCCCAAAAGCTCATCAACAGATGAATGGATAAAGAAGATTAAAAAAAAAATACAATGGAGTACTATTCTGCCACAATGGAGGATAAGCTTGAGACTTTTCTAGCTAAATGGATGCACCTTGAGACCATACTCTTAAGTGAAATAGACACACTTTAAATACTGCTTTGTTTCTCTGCTGTGAGAAAATGAAAGTGTAAATAAGGGCCAAAATGTATAATAGATATTTGGAAATGGGAAGACAATGTCCATATTGGAGGAAGAACAAGGGATGGGGGATGGGGAAAGGTTTGTAAGCACAGACAATAAAAACGTCAACATAGGGCCAGGGATTTAGCTCAGTGGTGCTGCTGCCTGCTTTTCAAGTGCAAGGTCCAGAGTTTGATCCCTGGTAACCCTCCCCACCAAAAAAAAAAAAATTTCAGTGTTAACACAAAAAAAGAAAAACCACAACACGAGCATCTCAAGGAGCAGCAACTCAGTACAAAAAACACTTCTAAATGGTGACTTCTAAGATAATACACTGATTTGTATTGATCCAAGTGGGAAGTTAATAAGGAAAGTAAAAGCCTCAGGCAGAGTGAGGTAGAAATCAGTTTAGATTAAAACAAAGGTACTTATGTTGAACTACTCCAAATTTGGTGTTTCTCGAAGTGTCATCTAGCATTCACTGTATTCAAATGACCTGGACAACCAGTCTATAATTCAAATTTACAGAACTATCCTAGCCCTAAATATAGTCTTCTCTCCATACTTATGCCGAGTTAGTTCATATCCCCAATTCTAAAATCTCCACATGCTCAAGTCCCTTACTTAAAATGGGATAGTTTTTATATATCATTTACACACATCTTCCTGTGTACTTTAAACCACGTCTAGACTATTTAGCAAAACCTCATGCAATGCCGGGGATTTAGCTTAGTGGCAACAAGCCTGCCTCACAATCTCAAGGTCCTGAGTTTGATCCCTGGTACCGAACAAAAAAAAAAAGTATGCAAAACTGCATACACTGTAAATGCTATGTAAATAATTATTCTATTTTGTGTAGGGAATAATGCCAGGAAAAAAAGGCTGTGCCAGGAAAAAAAAAAAAAAGCCCAGGAAAATGCATACTTTCTAAATTATCCAAGAAACAGTAACTGTAATGGCTTACCTAATGAAATATACTTCAATGGTTTGCAATTAGTGACAATAAGAATTCAATATTAATTAAAAAAAAAAAAAGAAAACAACAAAAGTGTTCCAGGGAGCCTCAGAAGACAGAGGAACCTTTTTAGGTGAAGTTCTAGAACACATTTCCCAGCTTCAAACTTCTCACCTTCAGACTTCTAGTTCTCTGAGAAAAATGAACTAATTTATTTATTTAAGCCTTCTTAGGTTTTCTGTTTCTTGTAGCTGCATGAAATTCTAATGTCATCTTGTACACGTTCAAACATTTACTTAACAAATATATGACACACCTAAATTATTGAACACATTAGATCATATGGCTCAAGTGGCAAAGCAGCTTGCACAGCCATCTGGACCTGTTGCAGGGATTTCTCTTGCTTTGAGTCCCACTCACAACTTGCAGCTTTACGAGTCACTCAGTTAGTTAATGGGCCAGAGTAATACACCTAATGTGTACAAAATCCAAATAGGCCCACCAGGTGTTCCTACTCTCGATAAGCATTCAGTAGAAAGGGTGCTTCAGGTTTTGAACTTTGAACTTCTCCTGGGCAAGCCAGTGCATTCAATACAAGTCTCTCTTTCCCTGCCAGGCAGCAGCAGCAAGTCACAGCTCTCCACCAGCCAAGCGATTATAACAGGGTACAGCCCATATGCTACAGTGTTCTGTTTGGCTGAGCAGGGTGTTTGGGGATTAGATGTAGTAAAGGCATTTTTTATTTGCAATATTTTTAATTTTATGATTTGTGTAAAGGATATTACCCATTGTAAGTTATAGAACATCTATATTTGAGGCCAGCATTCAGAAAGGCTATGGGCTTGCTGTAGACCTTAAACCAATAGACTAAATCAGAATAACTCAGTTAATTTTTGTATTTAGGAAACTCACAAGAGATCACATTCCAGAAAGAGCAATAGTCTCAACACCAGGGGATCTAGGTTTGAATGATTTTAGCTATAATTCTTTAAGAGAGTAGATTTGAGGAAGCAACATACAGTACCCAATTTTTCCTGAATCTTATTTTCTTTTGAAAAAAAAAAGAATAGACTTGATAATCTTTAACATTATAACCAGCTTTGAAGTACTTTTGTGATTATACTGAAGTAAGATATGGGTATGAAGTGGACCTATGTGTCTCTAAACTTAGGTCCTAGGAGTTCAAGTGAAAGATTGTATTGAAACAAATTATTGTCTTTGATTGCAAAACTAAACAAACAATGACAACATCCTAATGGGAGCTACGGTATTGTGGAAGAAATTCTAGTTGTCATCCTGACTCTGCCATTTAATAAGTGTAAAACTTTGGGCCAGATACAAAATTCTTCTATCTTTGTTTCCTCAACTATGAAATGGAGACATTACTCTTATCTCTTAGTGCTGCTTACAAAAATCACTTTTTGCTCTGTGAAGCCCAATTATTATTTGATTACTAGCAGATACTGATAATGGCTTATAATATCTAAATTCTGGCAAGGGGAATAATGTAGCATGCCTTGTAATTTTGCATCACATACAGGTGGGTGATAGTTCTATTGACTTTCAGTAATGTTTCTTGGGACTACTTATACACAAGAGAACAGATTATAAAATGGCAAACAAATTAAAATTTCAATGATCTCTTTTTGTTTGTTTCTAGCTCCAGGGGAGAGCGCTGGCTGGTCAGATGGGTAAAAGCTGAGTTCAAATGAAGTATGCAGATTGCAGTGTGTGCCTGAGATCTCTAGTTTTTCCTATTCAACATGGGCAGTATCTTGAGTGATCTAGTATTTATCTTATGACCTGTCTGTAGAAACAAATATAGATGATAAATATTCCTGCAAATGCCTTTTGATGACATGTTCATGACTTCAATTCTCTTACAATGAAATGGTTTTGCAATTGCAGAGACTTTTGTCTATAAGAATGGCTTTTGCTGTAGGAAAACTGCCCTTATCCACCCATTTTGAACAAGCAGATATTTGAAAAAAGAGACACTCATTTGATTATACCAATAGGTGACATCTGTACTTATAACAAGCATGGCAGCTGATGTTATTTGGGGAGATAAACAGAAGTCTTTCTCTTTACCTCTTTTCTTTTAAGTAATCCTACCTTAAAGTGCCACTTGCCAAGATGAAGCTAATGCCATACCAAGGTCATATGGGGGAGATCTTAAGTGGAACACCTGATGGCACATGTGTGATTCAGTAACTTCACTTTGGTCATTGTAAACAACAGGGAGGAACCCACAGGAATAGGGAAAGGTGCATGACTTGAAGATGAGGAAATGATAGCACTATTTCCACCTCCTACAGAAGGAAAGAGGAAATCAAGGCTCTTTAGGAGACAGCTTACTCTTCTATTACCAGAACAAATATGGTGCAACCATACATAATGCCTCACCCTCTGCTTATCTCCAGCACTGCCCTTTGTAAAATCAAGGGGCTTTATCCAATAAAGCCTTAATATCACTCTCACACACTTCCTAGAAACCGTGGAGACAAAGAGTGATTGTGTTGTTATTAAGCAAGAAATTCAGTGGTGAAGAGCTATGTCTGAAACAGGCTAGGTCCTTAGTGGCTGAATATAGAGCACAGACATGAGTTGGGGACCCTTGTCCGGGCCCAGGGGCATGTTTCTTATGGGCAATAAACCATATTGCTTATTTTAAAGCGATTGTATAATCGCAAGGTAAGTGCTATAGCCTTTCAGTTGCGAGTCTATGCCGGTAAGGAGCCAAACAGAGCCCGAAATTGTGAAGAGGAGGCAAATAGCAGGGAGGGCAGACATTGTGGAGGAAATGGCCCTTTCTGTGATTTGTAGGAGAGGGGCCTGCCCCAGAATTCAAAAAAAAAAAAAAAATGATTTGCTTTTCACAAAGCTCAGGTTTCTCTGGCTGAAACACAGACTTTCTTCTGTTTAGGGCTAGATCACATTTGCAAGGTCAACCCCCTAGGCCGGGACAAGGGTCCCCAACTCACGGCTGATCTTTCCCTTGGCTCCCACAGCCCTTTCGCTTCTTGTGCTATTCGCAGAAACTAAATAATGGCCCGAGGGACTTTATCATTCCCCTTGCATTGTTAGATACCAGACCTCCTGGCTATAAGGACAGCCTCTAGCTCCTGTATTATGGATCGGCGCTAGGGAGCGATGGCAGGGGTCCAAGTGCCCACAGTTAAGCGGGCACACCAAAAGGTCGGCGTCTCGGCCCAGGTGGACCCATCTCCGCGGGCTGGGCGGAGGGAGACCAGGGCTTCACACCTTCCTCTGGACTCCAGCTGGCGGATCCCGAGTAAGGATCCTCTGCTTCCCCATGGGACCCCCTCCCCATATCGGTGCTTCTTCCTAGTCTGAGCCTTCTTCCAAATCCGAGGGCGCCTCTCTGTCCCAGGCCTCTTTTTGGGGTTCCCCTACTCCCAGCTCTCTTGCCCAGCTCGAACCACAGTCCCCCCGCGCTCCCCTCCGTGTCCGCGCCCCTGACCTGTGTGCCTTCCGAGAGTCCGCCGCTCAACTGCCAAGTGCTAGCCGTGGCCAAGCAGATGCAGGCGCTCTGAGCGCCCCGCCCAGCCCCGCCCGCGCCCTCTGCACCTCGACCTCCTCCCGGGCCCCGCCAGTCGCTCCAGCTTCGTACTCCTGACCTGTCCTTGGCGATGTCTCCTTTCCTAGGCACTCCCTAAGGTGTGTACTAAGGCAGGTTCTTAGGTCATCTAGGGTGACCCATGGTAACTTCCTACTATGCAAAGCACTCACAGGACCCGGGGATAACTCTGCAGAAGTTGTAGCTCAGGACATTACCCAGCCAAGCAATTACCGCGAGCACGAGGATCGCCTTGTAGCAGAGGGATTCTCCTGTGGCATATCTGGGAGCGGAATGTAGATTTTTCTGGGTAAAGCTTGTTGGCTAACTTTTGAGTATCACATGATTAGCTCATCCATTCAACAAATCTTCCATGTGCTCATCTGACAACAAATCTGGCAGATGGACACTGTCCTAGGGGCACAAAGATAAAAATTTCTGCCTCCAGAGGCCTCACTTCCTTCCTAGGAATGCAGGACTTTTTTTTTTTTTTTTTAGTATCTATGCTACATGTCTTTGTAGTGTCTATAGCTAAGATGATGGCCTCCGTAGTTGTTGGGAGCCCAGGAAAAACTTCTCAGAGGGCGAGAGGCAGTCAGGGATAAGGCACAGCATCTAGGTCTGTAATATGCCTTTTAGCATATTCTACTGTTGAGGATTTCACGGAAATGATGTTTGTGTTTGTGTAAAGAAGGGTAACAGATATATACTAACCACAAAGGAGAGCACAGGGCCTGGGTGCAGCTGTTTTTGATTAATTACCTTTTCTTTTTTATAAAGTCAAAGAAAAGCACTTTGGAACATAAGGCATTAAGGGGAACATAAGGCATATTCTTCTGTAAAATGGAATCATCAGGACCAGGCAGGAAAGGTTAAAGTCCAGAGACTGTGCTATCAGTTAAAAGCATAATGGAGCCATGTACCTTGGGTACATCATAGGCAGGATACAGGAGCTGCTAGAAAACCACTTAAGTTCCTGAGGCAAATGCCCCTAAGAGGGATCTTGTGAGGAACAGCAGCCTCTACCAGGGTGGTAGGCATCCGGGGCTCCATCCTGTCACCCATTTCAAAATACCTGGGTGTTACCAAGTACCAAGATGATGCCTTCTGCATTAGGTGTTTAATTACAAGGCCTCTTCCTGGTGCCTGCTAATATTAACTGGTGGATTTTGAAATGGATGATGGGGTGGAGCCCTGGATGCCTGTCATCCTGGGAGAGGCTATTTTTTGTCACCAGATCCTTTTTGTGACCTATCTCTTTAGTCATGTTTTATTTTTCTCATAGATTAAGATCATGAAACAAGCATGAAGCTCTTAATTAGGTAGGGATGCTTCTTTTCATCTTTTCATAATTTTTATTGGAACGTATTTTCAGCCCACAATGATGGTTAACTTCCTCATGGAGAATTGGAACATGCAAATAACATATCTCAATTTTTTTCCATCCCCCTTTCCTTGCCTTTGTCCCCCTGCCTTCATCTCTTGGTTTCTTTTCCATTTGCAAAAGATCCAGCTGTCTATTTCCTATGATCTGTCTTTTATTTAGATCTTTACTTATACTTTTTGGTTTCTCATATAAGAGAAACCACATGATGTTTTACATTTGTGTGTCTGTTTTATTTTGCTTAACATTGTGGTGTCAAGGTGCATCCCTTTTCCTACAAATGGTTCAAGTTTATCCTTTATGGAGGAGTAGTACTCCATTGTGTCTAAATGCTACATTTTCTTTATCCATTCATCTTCGATGGACATATAGGCTGCTTCCAAGATTTAGCTATTATTGGGCTAGGGATTTCGCTCAATGGTTTTGCCACCTGCTTCACAAGTGCAAGGACCAGAGATGGATCCCCAGTACAAAAAAAAAAGAAAAAAAAAAGATTTAGCTATTATGAAGTGTGCTGCTATAAATATGGTTATGCATGTATCACTATAATATGATGTCTGTAATGCTTTCAGAAAGATACCTAGAAGGGAGATAGCTGGATCAATTGCAATTTTTCTTTTTATTTTTTTGAGGAATCTCCATACTGATTGCTCCATACCATAGTGGTTGCAGTAGTTTACATTCCCATCAACAATGTAGAAGGGTTTCTTTTTCTCCAGAGAGGCTTCTTAATACTGAAAAATCAGAAGTAAGAAAATTATCTCTACCTCAAACTAAAACACTAAAAGTGTTAGAACAAACTGGTTTAAAAATGTAAATTTGACCACCTTTAACTTGATCTGTAATGATAATCTAAATCAAACAGCTTCAATCAGATAGTTAACAAAAGGTAAATTGCTAATGAATCAACTATAAAACAGTATAATAATACCAGCTAATAACAATCATTATTAAACTATTTTGATATAAAATTATAATAAGTCTCTATAAATAGGTCCTTATGTGGACCTTAGAGAACATAAGGATGGCATTTTAATTCCATGGGAAATAGTCATTTATATGATAAATGTTGCTGTTATGATTGCCCATTCTTTTGGAAGCACTTATCATAAAATTGCTCATCATCTTCCTTGGTTTTACTAGTTACACACATGGCCAAATAAGAACAATTTTTTCCCCTTTAGCCTTTTACCTAATGTATAAAGTGCAGGCCAATGGGCTGAGAGTAGAAGTGAAATAGGCAACTTTGGGTGGGTGTCCTGAGAGGAGGAGGATATGCCCACTTGCAGACTGTTAGGTGAAAGAAAAATATCTTGTGTCAGTCACAACTATTTGAGGTTTTTGTTACTTGAAACTAAATCTATGTCTAAGTCAAATGCAGACTTTACACCTGCTCTACACCATAAATAAAATTAAAGACTGCTTATTGAAAAACCTAAATGTTCTGTTCACTTTGCCCAATAATCACACATTGGGAATGCCAGTACACAGAACCAATAGATAATTAATATCTTAAAGATTCTTATGCAAGTTTGTTTATAAGAGCAAATGTCTATCAGTATGGGAATAAGCATATTACAGCATCCCCTTTCAATGATATAATATATACATAATACATCTATGACATATCAAAAAGGATGAAATATTTATTTATATTGTTTACTATGAAAATAGTTATGATGTATTGTTAAGGTAGAAAATTTGCAGAGTAGCAAGGAGTTTTCTTTTCCTTCTTTCTTTTATTGTGGTAGAACCTGTAAAACATAAAACTTACCACTTTAATTATTTTTAAATAAACAATTCAGTGGTATTGAGTACATTAACACTGTTGTGCAACTACCATCACTGTCATCTTTGTAACTCTGTCATAATTCCACACTACAGCTCATCCATTTACCAACAGTTCCACACCTCAACCTGTAACCACTATTCTGCTTCTGTGTGGATTTGATACCAAAGGTACTTTGGGTGAGCAGAATCATAACACTATTTTCCTTTTGTGTCTGGCTTATTTTACTTAGTATAACATCTTCATATTTCATCCATGTTATGTCATATATAAGAATATCATTTTTAACCAACAGCCAACATCATATTAAATGGCCAAAAACTGAAAACCTTTGCATTAAAATCAGGAACAAGACAAGGATGCCCACAATCACCACACCTCTTTGATATAGTTCTGGAAACATTAGCCACAGCAATTAGACAAGAGAAAGAAATTAAAGCAATAACGATAGGAAAGGAAGAAGTTAAACTGACATTATTTGCTGATGATATGATACTCTACATTGAAGACACAAAAAACTCCACCAAAAGATTTCTAGACTTAATTTACACTTTTGGCAGAGTAGTTGGATACAAGGTCACACCCAAAAATCAATAGCCTTCTTGTACACAAATAACAGACTCACTGAGAGAGAAATTAGGGAAATAATTCCTTTCAAAATAGCATTCAAAAATATGAACTATCTAGGAATCAACTTAACAAAAGAAGCAAAAGACCTCTACACAGAAAACTACCACACTCTGAAAAAGAGATCGAAGAGGATATAAGAAAATGGAAAGATATCCCCTGCTCCTGGGTAGGAAGAATCAACATAATGAAAATGGCCATACTACCAAAACTGCTATACAGACTCAGTGCAATGCCAATTGAAATTCCAACAGTATATTTCACAGAACTAGAAAAAAATAATCCAAAAATTTATTCGGAACCAGAAGAGGCCTAGAATAGCAAAAGCCATCCTAGGCAACAGACACATGGTAATGGGTATAACAATTCCCAATTTAAAACTATACTACAAAGCCACTGTACTGGCAAAGAAATAGGCCAGAGGATCAGTGGAACAGACTGGAAGACAAAAAACAACTCCAGATGTACTCAGCTACCTCATCTCTGACAAAGGAGCTGACCATTCCCATTGGAGGAAAGATAGCCTCTTTAATAAATGGTGTTGGAAAAACTGTATCTCAAGCTGCCAAAGATTAAAACTAGACCCGTATCTCTCACCATGCACTAAATTAAAATCTAAGTGGATTAAAGATCTAAATATTAAAACGGAAAAACTAAACTTGCTGGACCATAAGTTAGGCAGCACTCTGGAAATATTGGCATAGGAAAAGACTTTATGAACAAATCCTCAGTAGCACAGAAACTACTAGCAGAAAGAATCGACAAGTGGGATCTCATCTTATTAAAAAGCTTCTACACTGCAAAAGAAACCATCAACAGAACTAAGAGACAACCTACAATGTAGGAAAAAATTTTTACCAGCTGTTCCTCAGACAAAGGACTATTATCTAGAATATATAAAGAACTCAAAACAATCAGCCCCCCCAAATATAAAGACCCAATTCAAAAGTGGGCAGCTGAAATGAACATACATTTCTCAGACAAAGAAGTAAAAGCAGCAAGTAGATATATGAAGAAATGTTTCGCATCACTGGTCATTGGAGAGATGCAGATGAAAACAACACAGATTCCACCTCACCCCACAAAGAATGGCTGCTATCAAGAAATCGCACAATAACAAATGTTGGTGGGGTTGTGGGGAGAAAAGAACCCTTCTCCATTGTTGGTGGGAGTGCAGACTGG